TTATAATTTACCCTTTTATTTATTTTATTTTTTTTGGAATAAATTACAAACACATTATGAGTTTTGCTTGCAATATGAAATACTTTTTATAATTTTAATTTTATTTTAATTTTTTAAAATTTTAATTTTATAACAAATAATTTATTTTATTAATAGTTTTTAATGATATTATAAATATATTTCAATTAAAAATTTAAATAATTTTGTTGTTATATTGCAGAATAGTTAATAAATTTTTTTCTGTTAATTATATCAAATTAACCAGTAGTATTACTAGGAGTGTAAAAATGACCTGTCACCCGTGGACGGCCCGAAACTTGCCAGCGGCTTGGGGTGGGCCCAGCCCGTTTAGGCCTGCGCCCAAGCATAGTCCAAGCCTTTGGGCTTGGGCCTAAGCCATCATTTTGAAGTCCGGCCTGTGACCTAGTACATTGACCGGCTTAAGGCCCGGCCCACCTAAGGTCCAGTGCTTTTTTTAATAAAAAATAATAAAATTTTGATAAAAAAAAAAATTTATCAGGCCTGTCCAAGCCCGATGCCAAGCCCAGACTCACTGGGCCAGCCTCTTAAGACCCGAATACCCTTGGACTTGGGCCTAGGCCTAATTTTTAGGCCCGTGGACTGGCTCGGCCTGACCCGAATTTTGATGGAAGTCCGCGAGATCCAACATGAGCCGAGCTAGATTTACACCCTTAAATATTACATACACACAAAATCCTCCCCACAAATCTTATAGAATGACATGATAAAGTTAGCTGAAAGATTTTGAGAGAAGATAAAAGTGTATAAGAGCATTAGTCATTAATTTACCATTTTTTACCATATTATTGCGGAATTATGTGAAATAAATTGTATGGATGAAACATTTTTTAAATAATTTTAACAAAAATTTTATAATGTTAAAAATTATAATAAATATATATTTTTTTAAAAACTCAAGAGATATATTTATAATTTACCTTTTTATTTTTTTTGGATAAATTTCACTGTAGTAGAAGCATTCAAAAATAAATATTAATAATTATTATTATTATTATTTTTGAAATTACCACTTATTAGTAATTTGTCCCTTTTTTTTCATCTTCGTTATCTTTACACCACGATCCACGCACACGGCACCAACAAGTGTCCACTTTACACGTGGACATGTTTGGTACTAGTGGTGGTAGTAACTAGTACTACATTTTCGTCACGTCGTACGTATGACTTTTAGCAACATTGCCCCTCTTCTTACGGCTTCATAAGTTACTATTTTTTAATTAAATAAATAAAAAAATAAAAAGTTATTATTATTGTTTAAAATTATTTTTTGTAAATAAAATACATTTAAAAAGATATTAAACGCATTAAGTTTTCTAAATTTTAAAATTTTAAAAAATTTACTATCAAATCCTACTTAAGCATGAAAACACATAAAGTAGTCTTGTTATATTAAAAATTATATCTACAAATATAGTTATTGTAATGTGAGATTAAATGTATTAAAATATTTTGAAGTACATATAAAAATTGTTAAAAAAAATATATATATTTTTTGACATTCCCATTTAGTTCATTGGGTTGTGATGATCCAGATACTACTATCACATGCTAAAGGGTTTTTTTGACATTTTGCCTTTTTTTCTCTTTTTTTTTGTGTGTGTGTGTGAATTTCTTTCAAGGGGGCCCTGTGTTTTTATAAACTAAAAGAGGTTGGGTAACAATTTTTTTAACGTTTTTTTTCTATAATTTATAATTTTAAAAAAAAGGGTCAAAATTGTTCACTTTTTATGTCATTCTAGATTAGGAAGTCCTATTTTTTTTTAAACTTTTTTTTTTTTTTTTAAATATCACTAAACACAATAGAGTATTATTTGGCCACTCTTATTTTAGTACACTTTTTTATATTTTTTAAGTCTCATTATCTTTTTATTTTTTTATACATCTTTTCATAAAAAATTAAAAAGTATATTTATTTAGATCATCTCAAACACCCTCTACAAGGTTTAAAAAAAAAAAGACAAGATAATTGACTTTTATTTTACATTTTTTTAATTTCTTTTTAAGGTTGTATGGTTTGGTATGACCAAAAAAATATAAAAATTTAAAAATTTTAAAAAAAACTTCTCTAAAACAACAAGAGTTTGCTAAAACACGTTTATCAATTTCCTCAAAAGATATGAAGGGGGTGTTTGGGAAGAAAAAGTTTTGGATTTTTTAGTTAAAATAGTATTAAAAGATAAAATATGTTAAAATAATTAATAAGACAATGTTACTTCAATCCTATAATCATTTTACTTTTTTCTCACAAATATCACATTCAATTATAAAAAAAATCCAGCTCTCTTCCCAATCACAACTATTTTAGCATATTAAAATAGTTAAAAACAAAAATAACCTACTAAAATAGTCAAGTTCTCAAACGCTAACAAAAATTTGAAAGTACTTCACACTACCCAATGATCATAATATCCTTAGTATCTCCACCTAAATTTTCAAAATTTGGTATGTCAAATTTTTTTGAAGGCTTAGGTAACAAATTGGCATATGTAAATTTGACATGGAAACTTTCTATCTAATATATCAAATCTATTATTCTATTATTTTTAAAATTTGAACTCTTTTTATTTTAAATGAATGTTGTTTTATTTCAAAATAGGCATGAAGTAAGAACATGTCAAAATTGACATAAAAAGGTGATGATGCCAAATGCCACATCAGCTTTTGGCATATCGGGTGGAATTGATATTTGATTTTAAAATATGATTGTTAGAGTGTCACATTATATTTGAAGTATCGAGTGGATGTACTTTTAGAGTTTATTTGATTGGAAGGTTATAGTATAAAATTATATTATTTATATATGTGACTGGCATCATATTATTTTGTTGTAATGTTTATTATTAAAATTAGGTTTATATGAACATTCTATTTAACGAAATTGGTGAATTTTTTTAATTATGAAACTAATAGTGCACAACAAGCATATCTACTAATTCAACTTGATAATCAATTATATACTAATGCCACTGATTGTTATTCCTAATTTTTTGATGACTTTGATGTTATTTATTTTTTATTTTTTTCATTTTTAGTAATTTTTTTTTCAAAAAACTAGACTTTTGGTTCTACTCGATAAGATGATAAGATGTATCGAAAAAATAATTTAAAATAAAAAATTAGAAGGAACAAAAAAATAAACTTTTTTTTACTTATTTTTCTCATATTTTTTGGGTAAATTACAATGACACTCCATGAAATTTATGTTTATTACAGTTTTTTCCTCACCTTTTGTAAATTACATTTCCATCCCTGAGGTTTAAAGTTTCATTACAGATTCTCCCCCTCAGCAATTTAATTTTTTTAAATATCAATTTTACCCTCACTGGGTAAAGTACATTGACACCCCTTACATTTTAGAAATTAATTACAATTCCCTCCCTAAAGTTTAAAGTAGCATTACCAATTGTCCCATGGGTTAGTATTAGTTGGAAAAACAATTCATTGGAAAAAAAAATTAAAAATTGGGAAAAAAATTATTTGAAAAAAAAATTGATTGAAAAAAAAAATTAATTGAAAAAAAAAATTATTAGTAAAATTTTTAAATTTCTATTTAAAAACCAACGTAAACTCATTTTTTAAATTTACGTTTTTTCCTCAAATTTACAAATTGAGACAACTATTTATAGACCAAAAAAATTATCAAATAAGTTTTTATGACAGTTTTTAAAATTTTTATAAATATGAATTGAAAACTGAAAACGAAATGGTTACCAAGCAGGTCTTAGATGATACAAATGTCGTAAAATGAACAAATAATTAAATAAGTTACCAACGTACAAAATGACTTATCAAAAGATTTTTAGGCTATGTATGATTTGATTTTTAGAATTTTTTTTAAAAATTAAAAATTAATTTGGTTAAGAAATAAAAAATAAAAAATAATTATCATTTAAACTTTTAGGTAGGTTATATACATACGTATGACTGTTTTAATTTAATTTGTAAAAAATTATTTCTAACTATTCGAAAGATAAAAATTATATAAAAATGATAATTATTTTTTATTTTTTATTTCTTAACCAAATTAATCTTTAATTTTTTTAAAAAAAATTTAAAAAATCAAACCATATATAGTCTAAGATTTTTTGATAAGTCATTTCTTACGTTGGTAACTTATTTAATTATTTGTTAATTTTACAACATTTTTACTATCTAAAGCCTGTTTGGTAATCATTTTGTTTTCAGTTTTCAATTTATCTTCACAAAAATTTTAAAAACTGTCATAAAAACTTATTTGATAATTTTTTTTGGTTTATAACTGGTTGTCTTAATTTGTAAATTTGAGAAAAAACATAAATTCAAAAAATGAGTTTACGTTGAATTTTAAATAGAAATTTAAAAATTCAACTAACAATTTTTTTTTCAAATAATTTTTTTTTCAATAAATTTTTTTTGCAACTAATACTAATCGATGGGCAATTGATAATGCTACTTTAAACCTTAGGGAGGGATTGTAATTTCTAAAATGTGAAAGGTGTTTACCATGCGAGGGTAAATTTGTATTTAAAAAAATTAAATTACTGAGGGGAATCTGTAATGAAACTTTAAACCTCAATAAGGGAGATATAATTTTCAAAATGTGAGGTTGAACGGTAATAAACATAAACCTCAAGGGGTGTCAGTGTAATTTGTCAATTTTTTTAAAAAAAAACTTTTTTCAATATTTTAAATTCTTCTACAAGATTTGTTCAAAAAGTAAAAATTTTTAATATAATTTTTGAAAAAAAAAAATACTAAAAACAAAAATGTTTGAGTTTTTTAAAAGCCTCTTCGAAGTTTGTGCACATGTGGCAACTTCCTAGGGGGAGTAGTCATCTAATAATGCAGACTTTAAAGGGTAATATAGACCTTTCACCTTCTAATTATTTTATTCGCTTTACACTTTTCAATGCAATGCATCTCTCTCTCTCCGTCACAACCCAAAACTTTGAATAAAAAACAAAAAACAAAAAGAACTATGCATTTTAAAGTCTTCAATCTTCCCTTCAACGCCTGAGCGAGCGACTCCCTCGCTCCTGAAATTCCCACTTTACCCCTACTCCGATTCTTAATTAATCATGATTAGTCGTACTAATTTCAATACCACTTTCAAGACACAGTGCCGAAAACGACGGCGTTTGAACTGGGTCAGGCGTGGTTGGTTTGGTAATTTCGAGTCATTTTCTCGTTCGTTCTCCGAGGCCATTCATCCGTTGTAATCAGGTGTAGTGTGGTGCTTATGCATATGTGTGCTTGAGTTGTAAGCATTTTGGGCTTCAATCGCACCCAGCCGAACAATAAACCCTAGAAAATCGATAACAACTCTCTCTCTCTCATGGTTTGTTTTGATTCTCAGAGATGGAGTCTCAAATCCCGATGATCAGAGCTCCACCACCACAGCTCTCCATGTCTCGCCACCGAAGGTAACTACTTTCTTTTTTTTTTGTTACAGGAAGGTAACCACTTTCACTTCCTTTTCCCTCGTTTTCTGCTTCTCCAAACACGTCTTTTTCTTCTTAGTTCGATCTCCCTTCATCGATTCCTTTTTCTTCTATTTCATTCTATATTTTCGAGGTTTTGACGATTGTTGTTTGTTGACATTAGTATTTTTTTCCCTTCTTCTTGAGTTGATATTCTTTCAGCTATATATACGATGAAGTGTGTGGTTTATGCGATAATGACTTGTTTTGGTGATTTCCATGTAGTTAGTTTTTTTCTCTTATTAGCGATTTCATATTTGGAGCTTTTCCTGTTTATTTATGGTGGTGTTAGTTAATTTTTGGTTATAGCTATTAATGGCGATGGCCATATATAGGGTGCTGAATAAAAAGTAGGAATAATTAATAATGCTACTCAATATACGTAATTTAGCAAATTGATTGACTGATTATTGTTCTCTGAATTCCAACATTTTTTGATTTTTCTCTTCTTTCATTGTTCTTTCACTTCACTAATGCTTGCATATTTTTTGTTTAATTTTTGGTCGAAAAATGCTGAACGTACATAATTTTTATACAAAAATAAGAAAAGAAAAAGAAATCTCGTCATTTGTGATGTGGCAATGACATTGTTGTAATTATGAATCATAGCTTTTTTTACTTCTAATGAATGGACATAAATGAGACACGCTTTGAAATTTTTGTTTACAAATTCTGTTCACATAGTATTATCCTTTTTGGTATGCTTTTCATATATTCCTGTGACTTTGTGGTTTTAGATGGTGTTATCTTTTCCTCTTGATATTTTGCACAACTATTTAGCTGATTCAACCCCACTTTGAGTTTTTTTACTTGCTATTTAGTTTTTATTTTAATTTTTTCGTGCAAGTAGTTTTATGACATTCCATGTTATATGTTTATAGAATTGAAATTCTCATATGTAATATCATTTGTTTTGATGGTTTATTTCAGGGTATTGTTTCACCATGCCAAAGCATTCCACTATATGGTGGTTTTGCTGAGTACCCTTTTCCACCTTGTTGCATGCAGACCATGTTCCATAGATGGAACGCAAAGTCCGGTGGAATATGATGCATGTGAGTCCTCCTACAGAGATGGTCACTATGATGGGTTTCAGGAGGTATATGGTCGTGATATAAGTTCAGTGTACCTAGGTCTTGAGAATATATGTAGCAATTCGAATTTGTTCTGCTTTCCTTCAACATTGCCTGGATTTGTGTCTGAACAGCATAGTCCTGAATCAACTGGGCTAGAGGCATCTACAGTCCAGTCTGATGCCACATTACATGTAGGATCAACTCGAGTAAAAAATAACATAAGCTGGTCATCAGACTTTGGTATGTTTAGGCTATTAAGTGGACGGGCTATTTCTTGTTCTTTGAACTCTCAAGAGGGAATCCACGAGGGCTCATATCTTCAAACCAGTAGTGCTGATCAAAGCTATGTTTCTTCCTGTGGGGGTCCTTTACGTAATCAAAAGAGCCCAAGTTCCAATTTGAACAAGAACTCTGGGATGATCAAATCAGGATTTTTAGATGGTTCTTTGTCCCCTCATATTGAAATAAGCCCTCCTCTACTTGACTGGGGACAGAAATATTTATATTTTCCTTCCTTTGCCTTTTTAACTGTGGTAAATACTCACAGCGACGGCATTTTATACTTGTATGAACCTTTCAGTACCAATACACAATTTTATCCTTGTAATTTTAGTGAGGTTTCTCTAGGACCTGGTGAAGTAGCTTCAATTTGTTTTGTGTATTTACCAACATGGTTAGGCATGTCCTCTGCACATCTGATCTTGCAGACAAGCTCTGGTGGTTTCTTGGTACAAGCTAAAGGTTTTGCTGTTGAGTCCCCATATGGTATGCAGCCCTTAGGACTGGATATATCCTCCAGTGGAAGGTGGAGTAAGAATTTATCTTTGTTCAATCCTTTCGATGAAACCCTCTATGTGGAGGAAGTAAGTGCATGGATATCATTTTCTTTGGGGAATACTTCATATTCAACAAAAGCAATCTGTAGTATAGAAGATTTCCAAGGTTCTGATGAGCGTACTATGATGAACGTTAAGGAGTGGTTGGATTTTGAGAGTGGTCAAGTTGGCTCACCACTAATGGCTATGAGGCCACATAGAAATTGGGATATTGGTCCTGGTACCACTGAGACCATCATAGAGATTGAGTTCTCATCTAACTCTGCAGAAAAAGTTTTTGGTGCCTTTTGTATGCAGTTGCTAAGGCCTTCTCAAGGTAAGTCGGATACAATTATGGTTCCTCTTGAAGCAGAACTGGGTAGGGAATCAGCCAATCATCTTACAAATTCTGTTTCATTATCACTTGAGACTCTAGTACCGTGCGATTCCAGTGAAACTACTGTTGTTGCTCTCTCGCTGAGAAATGGTGCTCCTCATATCTTGAATGTTGTTAAGATTAGTTTGATTGGAGAAGGCACTAAGCTTTTCCAGATTAAATACATGGAAGGCTTAATACTTTTTCCGGGCACTGTCACGCAAGTTGCTGTGGTTAGTTATGTCCCCTTCACCATTGGATTACATGATTCTCCATCAGACATTTCCAATATAAACTTTAATTGCAAAGTAATGATACTGACAAATGAGTCAAGTAGTCATCAGATTGAGGTTCTCTGCAAGGATATAGTCAGTTTTTGTTCAAAATTAGATTCCTTTCAACATCAGGCTGGAAAGGCTGAATATGGCAATGCAAGAACAGGGCCCTTAGGAAGCAGTGTGCAGCCACCATCACAGATCAAGGTATGTTGATTCTGATCCATTTATTTTTCTTGAGTTTGTACAATTTGTTTGCCCATAATCTGGTGTCTTCCTGTTTTGCATGTTTCTTAGAGTGCTATGTCACAGTACTATCTTCCGTGTTGAGTTGCCATGATTTATCGTTGAGTTTGTGTGTTATTAGAAAGCACATATGTCTACTGGAGTGCAGTGTCAATGTTCAATAATCCAATTATTTTATCTAGAAAAATAACCCGGTCAAACTTTGGAAACATATGGGACGTGCGCATGTCTATTGCTTGGACGTGTGAGAAAATCTAGGGTCTTTGCACAAATTTCCAGAAAATTAATTTGAGGTAAAGATTAAACTAATGAAGTATGGATTTTAAAAATACAAATACCTCATTTGAGCTTTTTAGTATTTGAAATATAAGCCTTTATGACTTCTAATTTGTTTGTAAGTACTTGAGGTTTCTATAAGTACTACATTTGGCGTCTCTATTTCAGCTTCTTTTGAACTTAAATAAAAATAAACAGAATAATTTGTTTTTATCTTTATGAACGCATCAATATATACTCATTTTGATGTGTATGTGTTCTAATATTGTGGAAATTTCAATGCCAGCAAATTCTTATTATGTTGTATACTTGTATTGCTGCTGTGTATACATATCCAAGCTTCTTTTATGCTTCTATGAACTCCAATGATAGCAATAGGTACTCAACACTCCTTGTGCAGCCACATAATTCTTGAGAGTCCTTGTATTTTATTCTCAAATGTAAACAGAAAAGGGGGAAAACAATACTATGTATGGTTGAAGAAACTCTGAATGTGAAATGGGCATCCATTATTCTGTGTGTGTAAGACATGGTAAATGCCTAAGCTTAAAGCTTGTACTTAATCATATGTGAATTACACTTCACTAAAAGACTGCAAAATGAACAATTAGAACTTAAATTTTACAGCTAGGCTCCTGTTTTCCCGTTACACCTTTCCTCTTGAGCTGTTGCTCTCAAAGCCATAGGAGGTCTAACAATCAAAAAAATGTTCAAGTTCTAGAGATTAGAAATAAGAAGAGAGATTCAAAATCTCTGGTCAAAGTTGTGGGTGCCTAGCTGTGACTGTGGCACGGTGAAATAAACTTTAATAGACATGGGAGAAGAGGGGCTTTGTCTTAATTGTGCTTGATGTGGTTTCAGATTTTGATGCCATTTCACAGTACTTTCGTGGATGAATAAGAGCTTTGCAAATCGTCCTGAAATTCATGGACTAGCTCTTCTTGGCTTTTAGGCACTAAAACTGAAAATTTTCACCACTTTGTGTATTATGCCAAAGGTTAGGTGTGGACTCAATCTTTACCCTCCCAAACACACATTAATGTGTACTAAGTGGGCGTTGTTGTTGTTGTTGTTGTTGTTGTAGTAAAATATTTAAGTAATGAATTTTAGAAATTGAAAATTTTAAGATAAATATGTTAACAATTGTTAAAATCCACCTCACCTCACCTACTTCACCCACTTAAACCTACTCCACTAAACCTAACCTTGAAAATTTTAAGATAAATATGTTAACAATCCTCCTTCAACTACTACGGTACAGAAACATTTGAATAATGAAATATTGCCACAATGATTTTTACTTGGCATGTTCATAATCTTTCTAGAAAAGATATATATTGTGAATCAGTCTTCAAAATCATGTTTGCAAGCTTTACCGAACAAAAAAGAAGTTTTGAAAGTTTTGACCAAGAAGTTGTATGGCTGTCTACCTAGTGTGACTGACTTGAGAATATCATGGTAATACTTTAAGCACAATACAGGTGAAATTAGTTGCTCAGTCTTGTCAGTGTGATATTCCTCTCGACTATGTATGACACAAGCTGGTATCATGCACTGTGAATGAATGACTTTAGTCGAATTTACTTTACTTGTTAGTTATCTCCCCCCCCTTAATAAATTTCATAACTTAGTTTCAGTGAAGCATATATGTAGCACAGAGCTAGATTTAATAAGATGGATAAGATGAGCATCATAACCCTATTTCATTTCCATTTCTAGTCATTTATAAACATGCAGCTTTTGTCTTCAATAACCAATATGCTTTTTACTTCTCTATTGAAGGCAGCGGAGGCAGCTGAACCAGATGAATTGGTGCTGGGAAACTGGAAATCTCAAGCCACTGCTAGTGGCATGTCTGTTCTTGATGATCATGAAGTTGTGTTCCCAATGGTTCAAGTTGGAACTCATCACTCTAAATGGATCACCGTAAAAAACCCAAGCAATCTACCGGTTGTAATGCAACTGATCCTGAACTCAGGTGAAATTATTGATGAGTGCAAGGGCCCAGATGGGCCTTTACAACCCTCTTCGTCCAGTAGTTTGGTTCTTAGTGAATTTACAGCACCAACAAGGTATGGGTTCTCGATAGCAGAGAGTGCATTAACAGAGGCCTATGTTCATCCTTATGAGACAGCATCTTTTGGGCCAATTCTTTTTCACCCTTCAAATCGATGTGGGTGGAGAAGTTCAGCACTAATAAGGAACAATCTTTCTGGTGTGGAGTGGTTATCTTTGCGGGGATTTGGTGGGTCATTTTCCCTGGGTTTGTTTGTAGGGTCTAAGCCTGTTCAGAGTTTAGAATTTAAGTTCAACTTGCCAAGTCCTCTAAATTTCTCTCCTGGTATTCTCTATCAGATGGAAGATATCGCTTATACCTGTTCTCAGCCATTGTCAAAAGAGCTGATTGCAAAGAACACGGGGGACCTGCCGGTGGAGGTCAGAAGGATTGATGTTTCTGGGACAGAATGTGGATTAGATGGCTTTGTAGTGCATACTTGCAAAGGCTTTGTTCTTGAACCTGGAGAATCCACAAAGCTTCTGATATCATATCAAGCAGATTTTTCTGCAGGCATGGTACAGAGAGATCTTGAACTGGCATTGGGTACTGGTATTTTTGTGATCCCTATGAAAGCAAGTCTCCCTTTAAAAATGCTCAGTATGTGTAAGAAATCAATGTTCTGGATGCAACTGAAGAAATTTTCATATGCCATCACTATCTTTCTTGCTGCTTTTATGATGTTTCTTGCATTTGTTTGCATCCTTGCTCAGTTGATGGCATTAGCCTCCCAGTACTACTTTTTCAAGGGTGGAAAAGGCTCTATCGCCACGGTTAGGAGTGTAGGAAAATCTTCTCATGTGCATCGCAACCAGAAGAATGGTAACAAGTTTGCCGTGTCCTCTAAAATGAATGGCTTGTTAAGGTCAACTGAGGAGGATGAAACTTTAATGCTCGAGTCTGTTAATAGATATCCAGATCAAGTAGTTGCCTCAGAACAGGGGATAACTGCTCAGCTTGTTAAGCCAACTGTGGGAAATCAGAGACAAACTAACAATTTGCTGGACACTCGAAAGGAAATGGAATTGGAATCTTGTGCCCTGCCAGAGTTTAGACCTGTTGAGAACTCTGATGCTCAGGAATCGTCAAAAGATGATAAGCTCGTAGTTAGGATTGGAAAAGAGAAGGGAAGAAGACGAAGAAAGAAAAAGGGTTCAGGAGTCGGATTAACAGGCATCTTTGAAGTTTCAAGCAGTCAAAGTGGAAATTCTACACCTTCATCACCGTTGTCCCCACATGCATCTTTTACACCTAAACGGTCATGGCCAGTGTCTTCTGATTCAGATCAAGCTGTTGAGGCTAGGAATCAATTTGTGCAAGTGGCTGAACAACAATGTGAGAAGACTTCAGGTACTGGACCTTCTTCTAAGCCAAACATATTGGAGCCTGAGGTTTCTATGAAGTATTGCAATGAAAGATTTTTCCTTGCTCAAAAGGAGTCCTCTGCACCAAGAAAATTGGCTGGCAAACCTGTCCTGTTGTCTTCTGCTACCTTCCCTTGTGCTTGTGGGCCTGCCTCCAATTCAATGCTCCTTTCTCCTTTTTTGGCTTCAACTTCTACTATTGCTCCACATGCCCGGGCTCCTGGGTCTAAACTTTGTAACCAGAAGACGGTTAAAACAGAAGAAAAGACGGGGCTTGAGGATCAATTTAAGTATGATATATGGGGTGAACATCTTGTTGGACTTGGTTTAATGGGTAGGTCAAACGAGGCCTCTGCCATGACCTCTAGTGTTACAGAAAGTCACTCTGATAGCTTCTTTGTAAGGGGTCCACAAATCCTTGTGACAAAATCTCAACCAAAATCTGTAAGTTGTTCTGATCAGGTTGGTTAATGATAAGTTACTTGGTGATTTTTATAAGTTACATTCACCTTCAAGTCTTCTTTACTTTCAGTACTAAAGTTTTCCCAATCATACAAGAGAGAAATAAAATGGAAGAGAAAATATCATATCTAAGCAGTTACTTCTCACTCTTTTTTATTCTTATACCGTTTTATCCTACAACATCAAAGCTTTTAAAATAAGGTTGCACACCTTGTATTTTAATTTATTTTTTCAGCTGTTTCTGTCTAATGATTGCTTTTAGGCCCATTTTACCCCCTCCGTTTTATTATCCTATTCTGTTTACATAGCTGAAATTTCCCTCCAAAAAAATTGTTTCACTACAAGAATTCTGGGACTCTTTTTTGGTTGCCATCTGAGATTGTTCAATTACCATGGAAGTATCTATGTAGAACACTTTGATTAGTCACTTAAACAGGCACCATTTGTGGAAGCAGTTGTGGTTGTTACAGCTGGTTTGCTGATTAATGGTAATCGGTATTAGAAGGTGGTAGTGGGTACTGGATAGAGAGGGCTAGTGAGCTTTTGGGGCTATGTTGATTTGATGTCAACCTGTTTTAGAAGAGTCCAGGATCTTTCCATGGTGATGCTTTTTATTGGTCACTGTTGAAAGAAGAGGAGAGTGCTTTTCCATAAGCTATCCATTTGAAGGAACACAACCCTTCTGCCAAAATATGCTTGGATATGTATATCGACCCAAACCTGTTAGAATTGGTATGCTCACCAACTGAAGGATATATAATGTAAATTCATCAACCTCATCAGTATTGACCTGGATTTGGAATAAGGTTTCAGATTAGGTACCTTAAAATTCATTGCCATTACCCATTGCAAACCCTCAATGACCTTGCCCACCCAACCCAAGCTATTACCAACCTGCTTAAAGCGATACATGGGTACAGTTTGTTCCAGAAATTCGAATACCTCTTACTTTAGCTCTCTATTAGACTGTGACAGCAAAATGTTAGGAGTCAGTAGAGGGACTAACTACCAGGGGAGCTAATGTGTCTTGAATCTCACTAGGGTTACAATGTCTTTCATGGTGCGTGCAAACTGGGCCTCTGTGATCGGTCTAGTCAGTTGTCTTAGCATGCGAATGCATTTGTGGACACATGATTGTCTATGAAGCATGGACACGCCAGATTTCATGCCGTGGCGGTGTCTGACATGGGGACACGCCGGGTGGCGTGTCCCTTTAATTTAATTATTTTTTTGCAAGGGACACGGCGGGGACACGTGTGTCTACCAAATCTAGATACGCGTGTCCAAATTTGGACACAGAGTAGAAGAGAAGAGTAAGGCCAAGTTTGGCAACCCAAAAATAATCCATCTTTTTATCTTTTTTCCATTACATCACCTTTCTATTTTTCTGCACATCTTTTTGTAAAAAGACAAAAAGTGCACTTATTTAGGTCATCCCAAACAACCCCTAAAGGGCAAGAGACAAACCTGGACTTCAATCCAGTCAACTCGCCTGTTGACCTCCATGACTTTGATCACTGTAAGCCAGCCAACCTTGACCACCGTAAGCCGTCGACCTCGACCTCGACCTCAACCTCCATCCAGTCGACATCGACCACCATAAGCCTCTCTCTCCCTTTCCCTCTCGCTCGCGTCTCTCGCTCTCTCTCTCTCTCTCTCGCTCTCGTTGATTAATATGTATAATACATATATATATATATATATATATATATGTATTTATTTAATATTAATAAAAAAGACATATCTTATATCTTATATATAAGATATAAGATATAATATATACTTATACATGTTAATTCAAAAAAAAAAAAAAGGTAGATAAAATAAAATAAAATAAAAAAATTAATAGAAACACATTTATTTAAAAATATAATAATTAACTTGTATTAAAATAAAAATATTTATAAAAAAAAAAAATTTGTCGTGTCACCAACCATGTACGTGTCCCTATTTTTTTTAAATTGTCGTGTCCATATCCGTGTCCGTGTCTGTGTCCGTATCCGTGTCTGTGCTTCATAGATGGTTGTGAATACACTACAAGCCCTCGGTTGCTTTAGAAGACATTTTCATACAGAGATTGTTATCAGCCTTAACTGTTGTCTTACAATTTTCGCTGGCGACATATCATGCTGTCTCACTTAAAGTCGTTAGAGAAAGCGAGGAGAAGTGAAGAAGACAAGGCAGACTTCGACACCATGATGGGTGATGTTGACGGCAGAGAAGAGTACCGGTGCAAGTGTCGTGGAATGGCCACAATCAACGAGGAAGGTAAAATTTATTCATGTCACGGATTGTGATTTTGAGGACCAGTTTGAGCTGGCAAAGCCAAAATCTATACAAGAACATAATTCCAAGTCCCAATCATTTTCTATTGGCTGTCCTTGATCACCATGTGTGGGTTGTTACTATCTTGTATTTGGAAGTATGGATTGTTTTTGCGAAAATATCTTGAAAGGATGGAATGCTTGCTATATATCCAGCCAAGCTGTTGGTTGCTTGGGACCTTTTAGAATGTGGTGAAACTCCTTACTTTCCTTTTGGACCATTTAACAGCAAACAGGGATTGTGACTGGTCCTTCAAGTGGGGTTTCACTTTAGCTACCGGACCTCTTGTGACCTATTGAGCCTAACAATGTCATTGGTTTAGTGAAAGAATGGTTACAGAAAGAAGATGGACCATGCATGGTGGCCATACATAGTGTACATATATATGGATTTTGTATTTTCTTGTAGGGTTGACTTCTATGCATTCCTCATCGTAGATCTAAGGAGATAGAGAAGGGAGCGTAAGAGTAGAACAAAAAGGAAACATAGAAGGGGATAGGTGATCTAAATTCGCTGAATTACTAGTCATGAGATGATGTCTGTTCTTGCGGGTAAAAAATTAGGGAAGTTATCAATAAATTGCGATGATGTTAAAACACTAATAAATATACTAGTAGTTAAATATAAAGTTAGTGAGTTTCATGTCAGAATGGTGAGATTTATGTACAAGCTTTGTTGCCTTTGATGATATGTTTGTTAATGTCTCTAACATTTTACTGCAACCCATTATGACACATCATGACAAGCAATTGTTATACACGAGCAGTGCCCGCATACTTCCATCTAATTACACCATAGAAATACTCTATACCCCTATCCCCATCTTAAAATCATTGTCAACATTGTTATGAAGCATCGCTTTCTTCTCTCGAGAAATAAATTAATAAATAAATAAAATAAAATAAAATAAAAATGGTGACGTTTGATTTAGTTGGTCTGTGTAGGTTGATAGTTCTAGTGTATGCCTTTAGATTAGATATGAGATTTTCCATCTCTAAAAATTTATCAATTTCTTATGTATACATAACTACACAATAATGTGATTTTTAATTTAAAAAAAAAAAAAAAATCAACTTGTATTGTTGAGAGCAATGGGATAGAGGGACAATTCCATTGAATTGATGCTTGGGGATCTTGTGTATGAGCACTTACATGCTCTGTTCTTTTCAAACTAATCTTTTATTGTAAAATATTTTTGTAAGAAAAATGTCACATGCCACCTTACATTTTAGTCACAAAAGACAAAATAGGCTATTTTAATTACAAAAAACGAAATATCATATCCAACCCACAATCATTACAATCTTATCTCAAGGAGGTTCTTTTACAAAGCAAAAAAGTTAAAAAATAAATTTAAAGGACCATATTATCAAAGGACACTTTTTTGTGAACTCACTTTTTGTTACATCTTTTTTCTTTATGTTGCTTTTTTATTGATAGTTCTTCTCGACCATCATTGTACTGTGTCTTTGGATGGAACCAATTACTATCCGAAGGATTACAAGCACAACAAATCATTAATATTTGAGTTAATTATACTGAATTTTTTTAAATGATTAACAAATATCACTTTACGTTCTTCAACTATGAATACAAAATGTCTCTCTTTTGTTTGAGAAGTCATATGTATGGATTTATAGACTAGAAGAGCAGATGATATTTATTTATAGTTAATAGATCTAGTGTAAATAACGCTTTACATTATCTTATCTAAAAAAAAAATGGAAAAGGGTAAGACTATAATACACACTTCTTAAAGGATGTGTAACATATACACTTTATAACTAAAGAAGAAAATGACATAATTTTATATTTTTTGAATTATAATTAAAAAAAATCATAATCAAATATTACATGAGACGTAATGAAAGATCTCATGAGTTATAATTAAAATATTGTCAAAACTAAAAAAAAAAATTAATCATAACTTAAAAAAATAACATAATTAAAACTGTATATAATAAAATTTTTTAGAAAGTGTCTATAGTAAAATTTCCCTCTACTATAATGCAATGTCACACACAATTTCTACCAACCTTCTAAAAAAACAAACACGCAATTTCTACCATCTTATGGTGCTTAAACCGTACATCCACCTTTTAAAAGGCTAGCCCACAATGAATTATGGCCCACCAATGAATTCAGCTTGACATACAGCTGACATTATTTAGGCTCCGTTTATTTTTAGAGGTAACAGTGAGTAGATTATTAACGAAGAGATTAATAGTGAATGGATTAAATAAAATTATATTTGTTTTGATGATAATAGTTGTTGGTGTAGGAATTGTTAAATTATTTTTATATAAAATAATAAAATAAATAAAAAAATATAAAAAATTAAACATTAATATTTATAAAAAAATCCCTAATATATAAAAAATAAAAAAAATAAAAAAATTTATAATCCCCTCACTATTTTTCTAATACCATCTCCCCAACCTCCATCTCAATCCCCTCTCCAACTTCCATTTATATCACCTCTACCATCCTAATCCCCTCTCATCTACTTAACCCCAAAACAAACGGGTCCTTAGAGTGTACATGACAATTGTACAGTTTTCAGACTCTGCTGGGTTGAGTTTTCGAAATTAATATTTTTTGAATTTATTTTTAAAAAATTAGAAATTAGTTTGATAAAATAAATATTAAAAATATAATTTTTAAAATTTTAAAGTTATTAATACATGAAAAAATAGAAAATTATATGAAATAGTGAATAAT